AGGGAGCAGTGGATATGTATAGATCTCGTCGCCCTATGGTATCGGACCAACGCGTCCGCGAACGAGGCGCCCAATCTGTTGGGGCGCTTTTGTCGCGCGGGCTCGGGCAGAGCGCCGCGCCGTGCGCGATGGTTCGATGCTCGTTTCGGGGGCCTTCCTGGGGCCCACCTAACGGATCTGTTCGACCCCAGTTCGACTCAAGTTCGACTCAGGTTCGACTCAGGGTCGACCCAACTCGACTGACGTTCGACGCAGTTTCGACGCGCGAGTGGAGCGAGTGGCTCCAGGAGGGCCCCCAGAACGAGCATCCAACGATGGAGGAGGGGGGTCGGGATCGGCGGCAGGGGGGTGGGGGGAGGGCGAGGGGGAAAGGAGGAGGCGGAGGATAATGGGGGTGGGGGCCTCGGAAGTGGGCGGGCTGGGCGGGGATGGGGGGGGAGGGGGGCAGGGGGCGAGGGCAAGGGGCAATGGCGCCCGTGCCCTCTCAGTCCCCAAGGGGTCGGTGCAGTGGGCCGCTCGCCCCCCCTGCCATCGGCCCCGCGGCCAGGGCATATGTTTCTAAAGTGCATCCCTTTGGATGGTCAACCGTGCGAGCATTCGTTGACAAGTCGGGATTTCCCCATCGAGATCGGTGGCCCTGCGGGGTCTTGGGCGCACGTCGACACATCGGGTTTCCCTCCCTCTTGGGTCGTCGACCGCGCGAGCATGCGTTAACACATTGGGTTTCCCCCCGACCTAGATCGATGTCGCCGTGGGGTTTATGTGCATGTTGACGAAGTGGCCCCGCCCTTTGGATCGTCTACCGTGCGAGCATGGGTTAACAGTCGCAGTCGCCCACTTGTCAGATCGGTGACCTTGTGGGGTCGCGTTAACGCAATGGTGTTCCACCCTCTTGGATCATCTGCCGCAAGGAAAAAAAGAAGGAGGCTTGAAAAGAAAACGCCTTAGACCTCCTGCGCCCACAGGACTGGTGGGATGCAGGGCATCTGCAGGGCCATTGCAGGGCAATTGCAGGGCTTTTGCATGGCGTTTGCAGGGTCGTCGCAGGGTCTTTGCAGGGGTTTCACATGGTTTTTGCCGGGTGGGCTTCGCAGGGCATCGCAGGGTCGCTTTGGGGTAGCGCAGGGTCCTTTTTGCAGGGGGGGCTTTGCTGAGGGGGCTTTGCAGGGGCATTGCATGGTCTTTGCAGGATGCTCATGCGGCGACGCAGGGCGTTTGCAGGAGACGGACGGGCCTGGGCGCCCGAGCGGCCGCCAGAGGCCCGAGCTATGGCCCGAAAACCGCCGCCGCCGACGACGACGACGCCAACGACGACCACGACGACGACGACCACGACGACGGCGGCGGCGGCGACGACGACGACAATGAGGTGTTCACTGGTTGCCTGTGGTTCTTCCGAGGGGCGAGTCCCCGAAGAACCACAGGCAACCAGTGAACACAGTGGAGCACGACGACGACGACGATGGCGACGGCGGCGGCGGCGGGTAGTCCGGGCCGTTTCGCCAGAGACATCCTCCCAACTCTGGGCTCCGAGATGCTGTTCGCGAGGTGATCCGTGCCGTTTGGCCTGAGACATCCCCCAAACTCTGGGTTCCGAGGTGCCGCGCGAAAGCTGTTTGTGTCCCCCCCACGCCCGTTTTCGTTCGCCTGAGACATCCTCGCAAACTCTCCTCACTCCAGTCCTCCCCTCCTGCTCCTCCTCCTCCTCCTCCTCCTCGCTCTTCCGCCTCCTTCCTCCTCCTCCTCCTCCTCCTCCTCCTCCTCCTCCTCCTCCTCCCCCATCGTCCTCCTCCTCCTCCTCCTCCTCCTCCTCCTCCTCCTCCTCCTCTTCCTCTTCCCCATCGTCCTCCTCCTCCTTTTCCTCCTCCTCCGTCTCTGGCGGCCGCTCGGGCGCCCAGGCCCGTCCGTCCGTCTTTGCAGGAAGCCCATGCGAGGGGCGGGGGGTGGGGGGTGGGGAGAGGGTATCTTCTTGGAAGCGAGAAGACAGGAAACGATCTACACCACCTGCGCAAAAGAAGGGGGGTACTAAATTCCCCCCCCCCCCCCCCCCCCCCCCCTTCGGAGGCCCAAACAAGGCGTCTTGGGGCCCAGTCTTGGGGCGCCCTTGGGCGCTCTTGAGACCGTATTGGGGCCCTCTCGTGCTTTTCTCGGCGCTATGTTGGGCGATTTTGGGGCCATCTTGACGCCTCGGCCCATCGGAAGCGAAACCGCGAAAAGGCAGCAGACATTGATTTTCCCTATGGGATTGGGGCCCGCCCCCATCCTGATCGATATCATCGCGGCGTCTGGGCACACGTTAACAAAGTAGCCCCCTCTTGGATCGTTCGCCGTGCGAGCATGGGTTAACGCATTGCCCCCCCCCCCCCCCCCATCCTGATCGAAATCATCGCGGGGTCTGGGCACACATTAGCAAAGTGGCCCCGCCCTTCGGGTGGTTTACTGTGCGAGTATGGGTTAACAAATTTGGCCCCCCCATCCAGATCGGTTGTTTTGTGGGACCTTGGACACATGTTAACAAAGTGTTGTTTCCCCTTATTGGGTCGTCTTCCGCGCGAGCATGGGTTAACGCACTGGCCCCCCCCCATCCAGATCGGCGACGCGGGTTGCAGGACGCACTCGAAGGTCACCGGCGAGAGTTGGCGCTAGCCATCCGTCAGGGGCGCCCGACATTCACCAGGCAGGGCTGCCAAGGCATGGCGTCGGACATGTCGTGGCCGGGGCAGGGCGGAGAGGGGGATAGTGGCTCGCGTTACTTTGCGAGTTGTGTTTTGGGGCAGCCAGGCATTCGTGATCCGAATGCGTCTTGGGGCGCGGCGTCAGCGCAAGAAAAAACAACCAGCCGCAACAGTGAACATTTTCAGCGTTGGCCTTTGTCGCTGTCCACTGCTCTCGTTGTCTTCCCCTCTCCCCTTCTCTGTCGTCGCAGGATGCCTCGAGGAACGATGTGCTGCCATCATTATTCCTGCCCCCTCTGGTCTCATCATTTGTTGTTATCACTCTCTCTCTCTCTCTCTCTCTCTCTCTCTCTCTCTCTCTTTTTCGTTGTCAGTTCCCCATGCTTGCTGGTCTCGGCAGCCGCACTGCCTTTTCGTTGTTTTGATATGGCCCGTTTGGCTCAGCGTTCACCCATGACCTTTCGCGTGTACCTTGGTAGCGTTTATCTCATGGCGCCGATGCTCTTTCTGATTGGGCCTGCCTCGAACGTATCGCCCAGGGCAAGCGGTCGACGCCAAACGGCCTAGATTTTGTCACTTCGAACTTCCGAGGGACTCGCTCAAAGTTGCGCTTCGTTGACCCCGGGACCCCGTGAGTCATCCGCGCAAGAGCATTGGCCAGGGTCCGTTGACCTGGCCTGGCTATGCGATGGCGTGCAGGAGCGTACATGTTGCTTTCGCAGTTGCCCGTGCATGCCAACAGCCTGCTGTCCCGCTGCTGTTGCTGCTGCTGCTGCTGCTGCTGCTTCTCCCCTCCTTCCTCCTCCTCTTCTTCCTCCTCCCTGCCCTCCTCCTCCTCCTCCCCCTCCCCCTCCTCCTCCTTCTTTTTGTAGTCCTTGGCTGCGCGGCTCGCGGCGCCCAAGTGGGAGCTGGTTGTTGTGGGTCGTGGGCCACGTTTCGTCCAAATTCCTGCGACTCAACTGTGCCGGATAACCATGGCCGCATGCCGTCCCCCTTTTCCTCCTCCTCCTTCCTACCTCCTCCTCCTCCCTTCCCTCCGCCTCCCTACCCTGAGGCCCTCTTCTTCTCCTGCCTCGCTCTCTTCCTCTGATCCACCTCTTCCATCTCCTTCGTCTTTCGCCTCCCCCTCTGATCGCTCCATCTCCTCCCACTCCTCCTCCTCCTCTTCCTCCCTCCTCCTCCCCCTCCTCCTCCTCCTCCTCCTCCTCCTCCTCCTCCTCCTTCTTCCTTTTCCTCTGTCCTCCTCGTCCTCCTCCTCCTCCTCCTCCTCCTTCTCCTCCTCCTCCCCCCCCTTCCCCTTTCCCCCTTCTCCTCCTCCTCCTTTCCTCCTCCTCCTTTTCCTCCCCCGCCACTTCACTTGCTCCACTTGCTGCGCGCCGCTTCAGTTGCACAAGTGGCATTGGCAACCCCCACTTGCTGCGCGCCACTTCAGTTGCGCAGGTGGCCTTGGCAACCGCGCCGCGCGTGACAAGAACAACCCGCCCCGGCAATTATATACCTCTGGGGGGCCTCTTGGGGCCACTTGGGGGTCTCTTGGGAGCCTCTTGGGGGCATCCTGGGGGCCTTAGGGGGGCTTCTTGAGGCCTCCTGGCCACCTCTTGGGGCCGTCTTGGGGCACCCTTGGGAGCCTTGGGAGCGCTCGTGGGGCCATCTCGGAGGAGATCGATCAAAGAAGGGGGGATCCTTAATTAGCGCCCCCCCCAAGAGGCCAAAATGGGGCCAAAACCATAGTGCAACCAATGATTTGGGCTTCCTTGCCGAGGCCATTTTGGACGCCACGACCGCTCGCGGGGCGCCCCGTCCAGGTCCAGGGGAGATAGTAGGGGTAGGGGTAAACCCACTTCCCGAAGGGGAAGGAAGGGGGTTGGAAGATGAGCCGCCCTAAACCACCTACGCCCAAGGGCTGGTGGGATTCAGGGGTACGGTAGGTTCGTGTCGTGCCGACCGGCGGCGACCCCGCCAGCGGCGTTCAACGTTGAACACCGCGGGCGACCCTGACTCGTTCGATGTGGAACGATTGGGACGCTTCGGAAAGGGCCGATCGTGCGAGTTGGAACGAAACCCGCGGTGTCAGGAACCAACGCCGGGGTCGGCACGACTCGAACCTGTCGCACATCAATTCTGTACTCCAGATTTCGTAATAAAGGGAGGGGGGTCTCATTTCGGGGGGGGGTCTCTTCCAGGCTATCTTGGAGGGCCTGGGGGGTCTGGGGACGATGTTTTGGAGGGTTCTTTTCTCCACTGTAGGAAGTCTGAAATGTGCTTTGTCTATGGACCCCCTCCCTTTTATTACGAGATCTGGGGTAGTCGGTCCCCTGCCCGATACCTGCTCGTGCTTGCTCTTCCCCTCCTCCGGCCCATCGAGATCGCCGGCCACCTCTGGCAGCACCAGCGGCTGTACCTGCGGCTCCCCGCCGCGCACGGCCGCGGCGGGCCCGGCAGGCACCTGGCGGTCCAGCTGTCCGAGGTGCCGAATGCCGGGCGACGGCTGTCCTCCTCTCCCCCCTCCTCCTCCTCCTCCTCCTCCTCCTCCTCCTCCTCCTCCTCCTCCTCCTCCTCCTCCTCTTGCTCCTCCTCCTCCTCCGGCAAACCCGTGGCAGTTAAAAAACGGAGCTCCGGGGAGTTGTTTTTTTTTTTTCTTCCGGGAAGCAGCCCGTTCACTATTCATAGTGCGCCGGGCTCGATTCTGGGAGGCTGTTTGTGTCCCTCCGGGAAGACCGTGTTGGCGGCTACGGGTTTGCCAGCCCTCGCCCAGCTTCCAAGAGGTGCTGGATCCGTACGCGGTGGACCCCGCGTCGGGCGCGGCCAGCTTCAGCGCCGCGCTCTTCGAGGACGCGGCGGAGGCCGCGGGGCAGGCCGTGACCGTTCGCGTGGACCTGGAGGCCTCGGAGGGGCCGCCCGCCGTCGGCTTCGAGCTCCGGCTGCGGGCGGCGGAGGGCAGCTCCGAGCTCGTGGCGCGGGCGGCGCGCGAGGGCGGGCGGGCGCAGGGGCTCTGCGTGCGCTGCTGCTGCGCCGAGCTGCCCCTGCAGGGCGGGGAGGTGCGCCACTGGCTGCCGCTGGCGGAGACCTGGGCCGAGGCGCGGCAGGCGCTCGAGGAGCTGGACTGCTGCCTGCAGGTGCCGCTCAGGGGCTCCGCGGACTGCGCCGAGCTGCCGGTGGACCTCTCGGAGCTCGCGCGCGCGGCGGGGGATGCGGCGCGCCCCGAGGCTCCGGCGCTCGCCGTCGCCGAGGCCGCCGCGAGCAGCTCGGTCGTCCCGTCGCTGGGCGAGCCCATCGTGCTCTCCGCCTCGCTCGCCCGCTGCGGCGGGGCGTCGGCCCCTGCCGCAGCCGAGGCGGGGGCGACGGCCCCGGAGCTGGGAGGGGGCGTGGCCTTCCCGAGGCTCTGGCGCATCTCCGTGGAGGTGAAGTCCATCCGCCTCCTCGCCCGCACGGCCAACTGCTTCGTCGTCTACGCGTACGCGCCGTTCGCGCAGCCACGCCCGTTCCGCACGAGTCCTCCAACGCTGGCTCGCAAGAACGAGACGGTGTATTTGCCACACTCCTTCGCGGCCTACACCCGGACCGCCACCGCGCAGCAGATGCAAGGCTGGTTCGGGGAGCCCTTGCGCCTGGAGGTGTGGCACCGGGACGCGTACCGGAAGGACGCGCTGCTCGGGTTCGCTGACGCCACACTGGCCGCGGTGCTCGCGCAGCCCGTGCAGATGTCGGCGAGCATGCCCTCGATGGTACGGGGGTTCCGCGTGGTCGACCAGGCGTGCGCGGTCCTCAACGCAGGGGAGGCGGGACCCGCCCGCGCGGGCTCGCTGCGGGTCCTTTGCTTCCTCGAGGACCTGGGCCCCGCAGACGCGCCCGCGCAGCGCCGCGCCGCCGCGGATGCCCTGCTGCAGGCCCCCGGAGCCGCACCGGCGACCCCGCGACGCGACGCCCCCGTGGACTCTGCCGTGGCTGGTGCGGCGGCAGCCGACGCGGTGGGCGTCGAGCCAGGGGCCCGCGGGGCGGCCGCGCCGGCGCGGCCGATCGCCCCGGCGGGCTCTGCGCCAGCCAGCGCGGCGGCAGCCGGCGCCGCAGTGGGCTCCCAGCCGGGAGTCCGCGGAGCGGCCGCGGCGCCCAGCGGCCGCGGCGGGGCAGGCGGCGCTGGCTGGGGCGAGGCAGAGTGGAGCGCGCCGCCAGCCGCCGCGCCGCCACCCGAGGGCTTCACCACCTACGAGCTCGAGCTCTGGAGGCGGGCTGAGGAGGGCAAGTTCCGGGCGCTGCTGGCGGACGAGGAGGCCGCGATGCGCGGCCGCGTGGAGGAGGAGTTCCGCCAGCGGGAGCGCGCGCGGGCCGCCGAGTTCGAGCGAAGGAAGGGCACCATCCGGGGCATCGAGGCCGAGGTGAGGCGCGCGCTGCAGGACCTGCAGCGGCGCAGGGCGGCGGTCGCGGAGGAGGAGGCCCGCCACTCGGACACCGTCGACGGGGCCCAGCGCGCCGCGTGCGCGAGGGTCCAGGAGGCGGAGGCCGCCGCTCGCGAGAGGGATGCCTCGGAGCAGCGCGAGCTGGAGCTGGCCCAGGGGCGCACTCGGCTGGCCGAGGGGCGCGCCGCCGCGGTGCAGGGGAGCGCGGCCGCCGCCCGCCAGCGCGCAGTGGACCTGGAGGCCGAGCTGGAGGACGTCCGGCGCCGCATCTCGGCCGCGCCCGCGGCCCAGGCGAGGCGGGACCTCGAGGCCGTCCAGCTGAAGCTGCAGGAGCAACGCCTGAGGGCCGGCAGGCTGCAGCAGTCGCGCGACCACTTCCGCGCGAGGGCCGAGGAGCTGTGCCGGCAGCTGCCCGCCGCGGCGCCCGCCCA